AAAAATATAGTCTTATCTAGTCCTATATCATTTACTATATCGATCCTTACTTTAACTATTTTATTGTTCTTATTTATGAACAAAGAATGACTTAGCATGAGTACCATATTGGTACAATTAATATTTAATAGTTAATGAGTGGTACAACATTTCTTTTTATTTTTGTATGTGTAATAGCTATATTATTTTTAGCTTTAAATTTTATATTAGCTCCACATAATCCTTACCAGGAAAAATATAGTATATTTGAATGTGGTTTTCACAGTTTTTTAGGTCAAAATAGAACACAATTTGGTGTTAAATTCTTTATATTTGCATTAGTTTATTTATTATTAGATTTAGAAATATTAGTAATATATCCTTATGGTTTAAGTAGTTATGAAAATGGTATATACGGTTTAATTATTGTATTATTATTCATAGGTATAATAACTGCAGGGTTTGTATTCGAATTAGGTAAAGGTGCTTTAAAAATAGATAGTAGACAATCTTATAATTATTTCAATGTACAATCTACTAAAAATTTTATTAACACATTTTTTGAAAATAAATAATAGCATATTTATTCCTATTATTAAGGTAAGCGTATGAAGCTAGTAAACTTTATAATTAGCTTTCTATTGCTATATGCTTTGCTTAAATATTATTATATAGCGATATAAACCATAAAGTTCGGCGCTTTTTATCTATAAAATAATAAAATTTATACTATATATTTTATGAAATTTTTATTCTAAGTTAATGGGCTGTAGGCTGCTTCTATAATATAGAAGTTATTCCTATATAGCTAGTAAATAAATTAGGATCATTTTATTATTATTATAATATAAATATGTTACAATCTTCAAAAATAATAGGAGCAGGATTAGCTACTGTAGGATTAGCAGGAGCAGGAGTAGGAATTGGAGTAGTTTTCGGTTGCTTAATATTAGGTGTTGCTAGAAACCCTTCATTAAAAAATCAATTATTCTCATACTCTATTTTAGGGTTTGCTTTCTCAGAAGCGACTGCATTATTTGCATTAATGATGGCATTATTATTATTATATGTTGCTTAATTTATGCTATAGGCTTTGCTTGAACATTAGTACTATGTACTAATACAAGTTATATAAAGTTATAACAAGTTATATGTTAGCAGATGTTATTAATTAATTATAATTAATTAGCAGGGATGGAGGTGGGTGTGCTATTTTATAGCGCAATTAAAAATTTTTAATTTAGAAATGAATATTTAAAATAAAATGACAAATATATTAAATTCAATTATTAGCTTTGATGCTCCTGAAGCATGAGGTATTTATTTCCAAGATAGTGCTACTCCACAAATGGAAGGATTAATAGAATTACATGATAATATTATGTATTATTTAGTTTTAGTATTATTTGCTGTAGGATGAATATTATTTTCAATAGTAAAAAATTTTGCTATAAAAAATTCACCTATATCTCATAAATATTTAAATCATGGTAGACGTGTGCCTTCTCAAAAGTGTTTTAAGTTAATCTCAAGTTTTAATATTAGTCATAAAAAGTTTTACAGTACTAGCACTCCTGTTAATAGTGTAAAGTTTTACGAAGATGCTTTTTCTATGAGAAAATTAATTATAAAGGATAATAAAAATAAATCTGGAATTTATAAATGAATCAATAAAGTAACGAATGATACATATGTTGGTCAATCTATAGATTTGGCAAAAAGATTTATTAAATATTTCAATCTTAGTTATTTAAAAAATAGAGAGAGCCTTGTAATAAGTAGAGCTTTAATTAAACACGGTTATTCTAATTTTTCACTGGAGATATTAGAATATTGTGATATAAACAATTTAACAGAAAGAGAACAATATTATATGGATTTATTTAATCCTAAATATAATACTTTAAAAATAGCAGGTAGCTCTTCAGGTTATAAACTTTCTGAAGAAACTAAAGCAAAAATTAGTAAATCTTTAAAAGGAGTTTATACAAATGAAAAATCAGCTTTATTTGGTCGTACTCATTCTGAAGAAACTAAAGCGCTTATGTCCTTAACAAGAGCTAAGATTAATAATCTTGGTAAAACTCATACTGAAGAAACTAAAGAATTGATGAGACATAAAGCTTTAGGTAGAAAGCATTCTGAAGAAACTTTATTGAAGATGAGTGCTGCAAGAGGTTATTCTGTAGATATATTAGAAAAATGTGACTTAGAAGGATTTAAATTAATAGGTAGTTTTGTTTCTATAAGAAGAGCTGCTAATTTCTTAGAGATTAGTCCTAATACTGTAAAACTTTATATAAATTCTGGTCAAATATTTAAAAACAGATATAAATTCACTAGTATTAAATAGAACTTGTACTTAAAAAAACTATGAGTAAAATTCCACTATATGCTGGAAACTCCTAAAGCCTTTAGGTACTATAAAGAAAATAAAATATAAACTTTATCAGTGATAACCCTAAAGGATGTACAATGGATTATCAGCAGGAAACCAAAATAAGAAATTATAACTTACGTTTCTTATTAAGTAGGATCCTCAGAGACTAAACGTGGAAACCTTAAATATAAGGTAAGATATAGTCCAGTTAAGTATGAAAGTACTTAAGTTTAATTGACATTAATCGAATTAATATGAACTATTACACCGGCATTAGTTTTAATATTAATAGCTTTTCCTTCATTTAAATTATTATATTTAATGGATGAAGTTAATGATCCATCATTAACTATTATAGCTGAAGGACATCAATGATATTGAAGTTATCAATATCCTGACTTTATAAATTCAGATGGTGAATTTATAGAATTTGATTCTTATATTGTACCAGATTCAGATTTAGAAGATGGTGGATTAAGAATGTTAGAAGTGGATAACAGAGTTATGTTACCTGAGTTAACTCATACTAGATTAGTAGCTACAAGTGGTGATGTTATACATTCATTAGCTTGTCCAGCTTTAGGTATTAAATGTGATGCATATCCAGGTAGATTAAATCAACTATCCATATTTGTAAATAGACCTGGTGTATTCTATGGACAATGTTCTGAGATATGTGGAATATTACATAGCTCAATGCCTCTTGTATTCCAATCTACAGATTTACCAACATTTTTAAACTGATTATACAATGCATAATTATGAAAGAATAAATATAGTATAGTTACTATATCCCTCGGTGTTTTTAAATTTATTCATTTAATAAATGAATAAATCCTAGGCCCAAGGTAATAGATATTAGTTTAATGGTAGAACAAGACACTACGGATGTCTAGATAATAGTTCGAATCTATTATATCTTTAGGACAAATTTACAAAAATATTAATTAATTAATTAAATGAGTTTAACTTTAGTACTTTTTTTAATAGGAATCTTAGGGTTCGTATTTAATAGAAAAAATATAATATTAATGTTAATCTCCATCGAGATAATGTTAGTATCTATTACATTCTTAATTTTGATAAGTTCTATAAATCTTGATGATATTATAGGGCAAACATACGCTATATATATTATAGTTATTGCTGGAGCAGAATCTGCCATTGGTTTAGCTATATTGGTAGCCTTTTATAGACTTAGAGGAAGTATAGCAATCGAATATAAATAATGTATTTAAGTATAATTATATTACCATTATTAGGTTCAATAGCATCTGGTTTTTTTGGTAGAAAAATCGGTATATCTGGTAGTCGTATATTAAGTTGTATTACGATATTTATGACTACGACATTTGCTATAATAGGATTCTTTGAAGTAGGATTTAATAATAATCCTGTCTCAATTAATTTATTTAAATGATTAGATAGTGAATCTTTTAATATAGCATGAAATTTCCAATTTGATAGCTTAACAGTATCTATGTTAATTCCTGTATTGATAATAAGTTCTTTAGTACATTTTTATTCTATAGGTTATATGAGTCATGATCCCCACAGCCAAAG